GGTCTTGTGTTGGTCCATGGCTCTGAGACTGTTTGGTTTACTTTGAAGGCAGAGAGAGGGAAGAAGGGAGAGAACAGAGGAGAGATGAGGGTTTGAAGGTAAGACAACCTTCAACCTTTCCTGCTCGTGAATCGAACGAAAACATGAGAAAATGACGCCGTTGAGGCCACTGGTGATGAAATTGAGGATTGAAAATTCTAAATGGAGAAGAGAAATTGAAAGTGAAATGAGCGAAGAGGAAGACGACAAACCTACGTCTTGGAAGAAGAGCCGATAAGAGCGTTGGCTAGAGCACCGAAAGGATTGGCGGAAGAAGATGAGCTTGGAACCGCACAAGCTACTCCACCAGTCATGAGCTCGCGCATCGTCATGGTCGATGTTCTTCTTCTTCTTCTCATTCCTCTTCAATCCACAAAGTAATTGTTATTAAATAAATGATAAAAAAGAATAATTTTTAAATCAGCTAGTTGGGTTGAGATTTGAGAAAAAGTAGCAATTGGTCTTCTCGGGATACCAACTTTTATGGCTTCCAGGTTGTTTTTTGTTTTATTTTTCGCATGCTTTTATGGATTCAACGTTTCTCAAAGAAGGTGAGCTGGCGATCATGGGTTTTCCTCTATACTTTATGCTAAAAGGGTAAAATCAGAATACAATATAAGTTAATAGGACAGCTGTCAATTTTTGGGTGTTTTTTGGGTGTGTTTATGGGTTTTAAATGATGTAGGGTTTATTTATAATACTAGTGTTAAGAATGGGTATATAACTAAATTTCTATTAAGGAAAATGCTTACTATGTTTCCAATTTGTGAATTTTATAAGGACACACTTTGACTGTTGGGAACTAGTTTGGACGTTTCTTGCAATTAAATATTTATTTGTTGAATTCAAATTGTTCCCATCTTTTCCTCTGGTCTTTATCCATGAAACTTCACTTTTTTTATTTTTTAAACTCTTCTGAATAATATGAAATTAGTTTCTTACTTAGCACGCAATTGAAGATTATAAGTTGAAATCTCAACATGGTTCATGGCTCACAGTGCTTGCTTGTTGAGAATTGAGTTTATGGAAACAGTTGCAATGCTTCAAATAGTGTTATTGCTAATTCTCTCCTGTACAATAGCAGAGTTTGCTTTTAGTAGTGATGCTCGGGTTATAGGCTGCCTAGAGACAGAGAGAGAAGCTCTTATTGACTTCAAGGATGGTCTTGAAGATCCTGAAAACCGGCTTTCATCCTGGAGAGGAAGCAACTGCTGCCAATGGTGGGGGATACACTGCAACAATACAACTTCCGCTGTTATAGCAGTTGATCTCCATAACCCGCATCCGCTGATTTCATACAATGATTCTTCTAGCAGGTATGGATTCTGGAACCTTAGTGGTGAAATTAGACCGTCATTGAAAATGCTGGAGTCTCTGAAACATTTAGACTTGAGCTTCAATACATTCAATGGCATTTCAATTCCTGCATTCTTTGGTTCCCTGAAGAATTTGCAGTATCTAAAGCTGTCACATGCTGGGTTTAGTGGCGGAATTCCTCCAAATTTAGGGAACCTCTCTAGCTTGCAGTATCTTGATGTGTCGTCTAATTTTGTATCTGTTGATAACCTTCAATGGATGGCTGGTATGAGATCTATGGAATATCTCAATATGAATGAAGCTGACCTTTCAATGCTAGAACCAGAATGGATTGAGACCCTTAATAAACTCTCGTCCTTAGCTGAATTGCATCTGTCGGAACCAGAATGGATTGAGACGCTTAATAAACTCTCGTCCTTAACTGAATTGCATCTGTCGCATTGTCGCTTGTCTGGTTTAATTCACTCTCCCAGAGTTATCAATTTTACTTCTCTTGCTGTAATAGAACTTGATTTGAACAGCTTCAACTCAGAGATACCCAGTTGGCTTGTCAATATCAGTAGTCTTGGAAGTGTCAGTATAAGCTATTCTGGCTTGTATGGAAGGATTCCACTTGGTTTCAGTGAATTACCAAGTTTGAAGGTTTTGGCTCTTTCCGGGAATGAAAATCTAACAGCAAGTTGCTCTCAGCTTTTCAGAGGAGGATGGAAAAAGACACAAGTTATTTATCTAGCTTCCAATAACTTACATGGTAAACTTCCTGCTTCCTTTGGCAACATGACAGCTCTAACTCATTTTGATCTTTCTGGCAACAATGTCGAGGGTGAGATCCCGAGCTCCATCGGTAAACTTTGCAACCTAAGAGATTTTTTCATATCTGGTAATAACCTAACAGGATTACCTGAAGTCCTAGTAACAGGGAACTGCAGTTCTAGGACTCCGCTGCCTAGTCTACAGCACTTTGATTTTTCAGTCAATCAATTGGTCGGTAAATTGCCCGAATGGTTGGTTCAGCTTGAGAATCTTGTTCAACTAAGTCTGTCCTATAACTTACTCTCTGGTCCCATCCCTTCATTAGTTTCATTACCAAGCATTTCCACTCTGGATCTTGGACATAATAAACTAAATGGGACTCTACCAGATAGTTTGGGAAAACTTTCTCAACTGTCTTCCTTTGATGTTTCTTTTAATCATTTGACAGGTAGTATAACCGAAACACATTTTTCGCAGCTCAGTAAGCTGACAATCTTACATCTGTCTTCCAACTCTTTAACATTAAATGTCAGTTCAAATTGGATCCCTCCATTTCAAGTCTGGAATCTTGATCTAGGCTCATGCCATTTGGGTCCATCATTTCCTGCTTGGTTAAGATCACAAAAGGAGGTCGAGTATCTAGATTTCTCCAATGCTAGCATTTCAGGTTCCATTCCTAACTGGTTCTGGGAAATCTCATCTAACCTTTCACTGTTAAACATTTCATTCAATCAGTTAGGAGGTCAGCTCCCAAATCTGTTAAATTTTAATCCATATGCGGATATTGACTTGAGCTCCAACTTCTTCGAAGGTCCAATTCCTCTTCCAATTGTTGGTGTTGAGTTACTAGATTTATCCAACAATGGATTTTCAGGTCATATCCCAAAGACCATTGGGGAAACCACGCCAAACTTGATCTTCCTCTCTCTTTCAGGAAACCAACTAATCGGTGAAATCCCAGCTTCTATAGGCAGAGTTCTGCTTCTAGGAGCCATTGATCTTTCAAATAACACGCTAACTGGAAATATTCCACCTAGCATAGGGAACTGTTCTATTCTAAAGGCTCTAGACCTTAGCAAGAACAATTTATCTGGAAACATTCCCAGCTCCTTAGCTCAGCTGAGAATGCTTCAAACACTGCACCTAAGTGACAACAAACTCTCTGGAGGTCTCTCACAATCTTTGCAGAATTTGTCGAGTTTGGAGACACTGGATATTGGAAACAACATGCTCACAGGAAGAATTCCACCATGGATTGGGAAAGGATTTGAACATCTGAGAATATTGAGGTTGAGGTCAAATGCATTTTTTGGAGAACTTCCGATGGCGCTATCAAATATAAGTTCTTTGCATGTCCTGGACCTTGCAGAAAATCAATTCAATGGAAGCATTCCAGCTAGCTTTGGAGATTTCAAAGCTATGGCTCAAACGCAAAACATGAACCGCTATCTATTCTATGGGATGTACAGGGGCAGTTACTATGATGAAAGCTTGATTGTGAACTTAAAAGGCTCGCCTCAAAAATATACCAAGACTCTCTCCCTTGTGATCAGCATAGACCTCTCTGGAAATAATTTGAGTGGAGATCTTCCTGAAGAAATAACTAAACTGTCTGGTTTGGTTGTTCTGAACTTATCCGGAAACCAAATAAGCGGTGGCATTCTGCAAGGCATCTCAAAGTTGACGCAGTTGCAATCTCTTGATCTTTCTAGTAATAGGTTCTCAGGTCTTATTCCTCAAAGTTTGTCTTCACTTTCGTTCCTGGGGTATCTAAATCTGTCAAACAATGACTTATCTGGTATGATCCCATATACAGCTCATTTGACAACTTTTGATGCAGCCTCTTTTGCTGGAAATCCAGGCCTTTGTGGTCCTCCTCTTGTTGTAAGCTGTCCGGGTGCTGATCCAGGCAAAGGAGGAGGAACTGTGGAAGATAATGACAGTGGCAACAGCTTCATTGATAAGTGGTTTTATTTGAGTGTTGGATTGGGATTTGCAGCAGGTCTTCTGGTTCCTTTTTTCATTTTAGCAATCAGAAAGCCTTGGAGTGATGCCTATTTTCGTTTCGTTGACAAAGTTTTAGAGAGAATATCATGTTTGAGAAACAGAAGAGCAGTACATCACAGGACCAGGCGTCCTCACCTGAGCTAACCTGTCTTTCTTTTCTTTGAGTTTGGTGCATCTGATTTTATACTCTTATGTACTATTTGAAGACTTTGATTTTAAGTTTTCTTATCTGGATTTAATTTATGTAGAAAATGAAAAATGGTGAACAAGTGGGTTGTCTCTGAGTGCAATTCCTTGCTGCATTTCATCTATAAGGACCAGAAAATTGAAGTATTTATGTGTTATTGGAACTTGGAAGCAGACCTATACTTGAACCCATATCCAAAACCTCTTGCTTATTTAGTGACAGAACCAGGAATTTGTTCTTGGACAAACCAAATAAAAATTGTGATGATCAATATTTTTCTTTCTATGTACTATATTTCTACTATACATAATAGCATTGGAAAAATAAAAACTATGTAATTTTTATATATTTATATATTTTTTTAATAGATATTTATAAAAATACCCAATTCTAGACATGTATTTATAAAAATACCCAAGCACTATTCAAACATAGAAACATACCCAAAATGGGTTTTGGGTATGTGTGTAATGATGGGTTTTGGGTATGTTTATAAATGGGTTTTGAGTGTGTGTAATGATGAGTTTTGGGTATGTTTATAAAGTGTTTTGGGTGTTGGGTGTTTTTATAATTTCAGCCCGCATTTTGGGTATTTTAGTGAAACTCCCTTTTTTTAATATGGTCAGATAGAAAAAAAGAAAAAAAGAAAAAAGAAGAAAAAAAAAAGAACATAGCTCTGTCAAAATGATTGGTGTTTTTTCCTCTCTTTTTTCAAATACCAAAACGTCGGTTGGACAGTTGGACTAATAGCTCAGCCAATAATAAAAAACCCAGATGACGTAAAATTACCAGAAAACGATCATATAGATTTCCACAGAGAGAGAGAGAGAGAGAGAGAGAGAGAATGAGTGGAGCAGAGAAGGTGGTGAGTGTAACCGGAGCGTCCGGTTACATAGCTTCGTGGGTGGTAAAGCTGTTGCTGCAACGGGGGTATACTGTTAAAGCCTCAGTTCGTGACCCAAGTCAGTCATCAGTCTCACTTCACTACTTTGTTTGATAAATAGTTAAATACCCACTTCTTATTTTTCTTTCTATTTCAATTGATTGCAATCGCTTCCCTTTTCTGATTAATTTGATGATCGCTGAGCCCTTTGTGTTTATAGGAAGCTTATGATACTTTATTTGGCAAAATTCTAGTTTATTGAACAATGTATCAGGCCTGATATGTTGGGTTTGTAATAATGCTTGAATATTTTCATCAAAGTTGGTAACTTTTTTAGAAAATTTGTGTGGGTTTCTGAAATTAATTAGTTTGATCACTATGATTTTGTGTGATTCGGACCTTGATAACTTGATTAGTTTAGTCACCTCAAGTAAATATTGGTAGTATCAAACTAATCCCCAAGAGTTGATATATAGATGTTTAGTAGATTGGGAATGTTTTGATTGGTATCACAAGATCTTTTGTTAAGGTAGGGTTTTTATGGTTTATGGGGTTATTTTCTTGTATATGCCACAGATGATAAAAAGAAAACAAAACACTTACTTGCACTGGATGGAGCTAAGGAAAGGCTACAGTTGTTCAAAGCAGACCTACTGGAAGAGGGATCTTTCGATTCCGTAGTTGAGGGTAGTGAAGGTGTTTTTCATACAGCATCCCCATTTTATCACGATGTCAGTGATCCGCAGGTACATCCTGTATCACTTTTAACCGCTCTGTTGCTTACACATTAATTATGATGTGTCTACATTTTATTTCAAGAAGTGACCGATTTCTGTTGCATTCTTGCTGGATTTACTGAAAGTTTATGATATTTTGATGTTCTATGCTGTGATTTTGTTGAGGAAGTCTGTCTTTCATAGATTTATTAGTATACAGTTATTGTTTGAAAGTTAAATTCTTTATGCTAAAAATGTTCACCGGATGCTAACTATAAGTTCTCAGTTGCAAAAGGAGCTAAGTGCAATGGTCTGCTATTGGATACTTTGCATTCAATTACATCTTATCTGCAAATTCTAAAATCAAGACCCTATAGGCTGCCGCTTTTAAAGTTTTCTTTTGTCAGGCAGAACTAATTGACCCTGCTCTGAAGGGAACGCTTAATGTCCTTAGATCGTGTGCTAAGGTGCCATCTATCAAAAGGGTGGTTATAACATCCTCTATGGCAGCAGTTGCGTTTACTGGAAAACCTCTTGCTCCTGATGTGATAATCGATGAATCTTGGTTTTCAGATCTAGCTGTTTGTGAAAAGTTAAAGGTTTGCGCACTTCTCATGCTAATTTTTTACGATGGAATATCTCTTCTATAGGTTCTTCGTGAACATCCATGTGAAGATGTAACTGGTTTATGTATTTCAAAAATCAGATGGAATTTTTCCCCCGATTTTTTGGCACCTGAGATCCAGTCTTGTTCAGAAATTTGCCCCCTTACCCTTTAGGATCATGCTTTGCCTAAGATATCTCAGTTTGTTTTTTACCTTCTTAGTGAGCCTACATATGAACACCTTTTAGGATTCTTTAGGCAGTAATGTCGTATTAAGCGGTGGATGTAAATTGAAAGACATAATTACATGTTGTGGCGCAGTTGATGCTCATATACATATATGTTTTTTTTTGGTCTGGTTGTTTGCATACCTTTTGTAAATGACTAATTTTTATTGTGTAAGAGTTAAATCTTATAGCTTTCATGCTTTAAATACATGTTCATTGTGTTTATTAAGACCTTTTCTTCATCAGCTTTGGTATATGATTTCAAAGACCTTAGCTGAGGAAGCTGCTTGGAAGTTCACAAAAGAGAACGGAATCGATATGGTTGCAATAAATCCAGGATTGGTGATTGGTCCTCTCTTGCAGCCAACTCTGAATACAAGTGTGGAGCCTGTTCTAAAGCTCATAAACGGTACTCTGAAGCGTCTGTATTGTATGATTTTATTATACAATCATTCCTCATAGAAATATATGAAGTATCATGATTTTAGAGATTTACTCTTTCTATATAAAAGATATAATAATTCTATTAAAAAAAAAAAATCTATTCAAAAAAATATAAAAGATATAATAATAAAAGAAAGTTATACTCTTTTATTCCTAAGAAAATTTAGTTTTATCTGCAAAAGTAATCTCCTATATATGACTGCTCAAATATGGATGCTTGATGCTTATACTAGGGTGCAGCAGAACTATTATATCCATGTTTGCCTTGTCAAACATTCCTCAATATTAGCTGGTGCATGATGAGTCCCGTTCTTAAGAGGTGTCCCTCATTTTAGAGTAAAGGATTACTTTGTTAGATTTCAACAATAAAATCTTTAAACCTTGAAACATACCAGATAATTCAATATTTATGGGATGAAATATGCCTCCTTTGTAAATAATGTGTCAAGTTATAGCATACACATGTTTACTTATCTAAACTAAGAATCCTTGAATGCTAAGTTAATTTAAATGTCGAGTATAGAATTTTTTTTTTTAAGAACACACAGAATTCTATTAATGAAAAAGGAAATTTAAATCTGTGGATAAGCAGTCCACAGCAAAAAAGATGAAACTATAAGGGTTCCTTCTGAAAAATCCTTGTACAAAAACTACGAACACGAAAAAATTGCTTCAAAATCCAAGACACAAGGTAATGCTTCAATAATACTTTCTCATTATCTCTGTGATAACATACAATCTGCTAAGAAATTCTTATTGCTGATGTTTAACCGATGCAGGTGCTGAAACATTTCCAAATATAACTTACAGATGGGTTGATGTTAGAGATGTTGCCAATGCTCATATTCTAGCCTTTGAGAATGCTTCAGCTAGTGGGAGATATTGTTTAGTTGGAAGAATAACACACTGTTCAGAGGTCGTGAAGCTTTTGCGTGATCTCTTCCCTGCTCTCAAGATTCCAGAAAAGTAAGTTGCAAATATAATCAAATTATAGCATGTTACTCCTTTCCAAGATATCTGTATCAACCCTAGAGATAGAGGAGGAATTCTTTGGTCAAGTTTACCATCTTGTTCTAGCCTAAGAAATCCGTGGCCATTGATATTGTTCTGTTTAACATTGATAGGATAAGCAGAGTCTGTAATATGAATTTTTCTTCATAAGTGCTAAATTGCGAAACGTAATATTTGGACTTTAAGGTTTGAAAGTCCAAACTTCAAAAATTAATGTCTATGTCTTCATGGCAGATGTGCAGATGACAAACCTTTCACACCAACTTACCAGGTTTCCAAGGAAAGAGCCCAAGTCTTGGGTGTTAAGTATACGCCTCTGGAGGTAACATTGAAAGATACTGTGGAAAGTTTGAAGGAGAAGAACTTCTTTTAATCATGGAACTCATTCGAATTACCGTCGAGACATTAGAGCTCAGTTTATCCATTATGAAAAGTATGTTAGGCCAATTCGCAACAAAAGTCCTTGTCTAAGAGCCCTTTACATTTTCAACCAAAAAAAAACAAAGCCCTTTACATGAAGTTTTATTAGTCACCTAAATGCAGTAATGGGGAACTTGTTTCAACTGCCTTTTACTTATTGCAAGCTTTAAACTTTGAAGTGACTCCATTAGAAGTTCTGCTCAACCCACGCCTTTTCCTCTCTTGAGGGACTTTTAGTGCGGATTGATAATCAAATTGCTGAGCTCCAGGAAAGGTAAAACTGAAAGTGACTTATTGGAGATGAAATTTTGACAGTTTATTATTAGGTGGATGTTATCTTCTAGAGAATTTTTTTTTTAAAATAACACACCATCAGATAAGCTTAAATACAACTTGGACACATTTTTACTATCAAACGGACAAATAATCACCTCAGGGGAACGTTTAATTCAAATTAGGAATATTCTACCAAGGTGTACATTACCCGATTCGAACGATGACTTCTTAGGCATGTACGAAAGTCTGTTGTAACAAATAACCCATTTTCTGGTCTGATAAGAAATTTGCCACTATGTTGCATCCGCATTGGAATAGCTTCATCATGGTCATGGTCCAAATCATGTTGTCCATTGTGATGTGAGCCAAGCAACGTACTACTGGATGATGATATGGTTGAACATGATGCTGATTTTGGCATTGCAAGACTCTTAGGTGAAGGGGATTCTATGACCCAAAAACTGACCCTTGCCACAATTGGGTATATGGCTCCAGGTGATGTACTGTTACTAGTTTACTTTCCAATTTTATATATGTTGTCCTTCATTATGAACAAGGTGACCTTATGATTTTCCTTCATATATAACTAAATTCACATATATAATACTTCAGAGTTTGGAATGGAGGGAATCATTTCAACCAGAGGAGATGTGTATAGTTTCGGTATTGTACTAATGGAGACATTCACAAGAAGGAAGCCAACTGATGAAATGTTTGCTGGGGAGATGAATTCAAAGCGACTGTCCTCCTACCAAATAAGGATAGGAAAGTAAACATAAAGTCAAGCAAACATTCTGCATATATGCAATGTAAGCGTCATGTCAACTCTCTGGCTGCTAGAAGATTAGGCTCTGATACCATGCTAAAACATAGAGAATATTGAGAGTAGAGAGTGGAAAGTGTAGAGAGAATGAGAGTTGTAGAATATTTTCTGATTTTCACTTATGTTTCATTACTTACAATCAACACATATATATACAAGTTCCTAAGACATTAGTCAAGCCCCCCAAGTTAGGCAACCAACCAAGTTAGGCAACCAAACTAATTAGGCAACCAAACTAGTCAAGCCCCCCAAATATTGTAGGTGCCAAACATTAATTGACTACATAATTAACACATTAATTTACTACATAATTAACACATTAATTGACTAAACATTGTAGGCTACCAACCATTGTAGGTGCCAAACTAATCCTCATTAATTGACTATTGCTAACAGAATGGTAGTGTTTGCCTTAAAGGGCTTGTTCCTACATATGTCTTCAACATGTCATCTTTGACTAGTTTGGTTCTACATGGCAACAGCTTGAATGGTAGTGTTCCGGACAATATATGCCGGCATCTTCCTAGTGTTGAGGAGTTGCATTTGGTTTGTAAGAGATCTTGGGTCTGGAACCTCCAATCCTCATTTCCCCTCTTCTTTGTTGGTTCAATTTGCAAGTTTAGGATTCATCAAACAAATTTGTAGAGTGTAGGGTAGGATTAGCAATCAGAAAGCCTTGGAGTGATGCTTATTTTCGTTTGGGAAGGATATTAACTTCATCACCAGTATGCCCCGGTACCTATTACTTTGCACAATCACAATTTCGAAACTCTTCTATGTGGACAAGAAAAATGGAAAGTTATCGTCTCCAGCAAATGAAAAATGATTTGCAAGAGGGGGTACCCTATCCCTTATAACTCTGTAATTCCATTGTTTAATTTCATGTATTTTTTGCAGTTACATAACTCGTGTTCTTAATGTTTTAGATGTAATGCAGTTTTTTTTTTTTTTCCTCCCTTAGATATTTGCTAGGTGTAAATAGAACACATGGTTGGGCTTACCCAGAAAAGTACAAAGTATTAAAACAAAACCAACCGATTACAATGATTTTCAAAGCACAACATAAGTAACTTTTAAAAAAAATAACAGCAATCCCAAACTGGCCCTACAAAACACCCCAAAATGAACAATATTTTTATTCCAGTCCTGCATTATAATAGTATTTACAATCACAAGCAATTAGCCAGTGGTGAAGCTAGGAATTTATGTGTTGGGGGGCCAACATATAAACCAAACAAGGCATTAAAAAATTTCAAATTTTCAACATTAACAATGTTTGGAAAAATAAAAGGCAGAAAATAATTGTTTATTCAATTAGGTATCAAAATAACATTCGTCGTTCTTTCATATCTCCAAAACCATCTATGAGATACGACAAAAAAAATAAATCATATTCTATGCATAGAACATATAAGATACGAAACATATAACTATAACAATGAAAACTTCAATTTTCACTCATATAAACATATACAAATATATTCTCATGAAAAATAAATAAACAAAGGAAAAAAACTATGACTATGTAAAGTTATCTAACTTGGAATTAAAATTTTTGAAGCAGGAGGTTGGAGAGCAAACAACAAAATTCAATTATTTTCTTTTGATGTGTGCAGCTGCTTCAAACTAAGTTCATGTTGCTTCATATAGGAACAAAAATTAAAATCCCAATCCTTTTTTATTTGGGTAAAAGTCTACTTCCTATTTTTGGTTACAACTTCCTATTTGATAAAGGAGATTTTTTGAAACTTTATTTGATTGGCTGCTTTTATTTTCTTTTATTTTTATATTGTTTGGCTCCTATTCGAAGAAATCACTTTAGTCTCTTTTGGTTACATTGGGAGGAAAGAAACCCCTTGGGGTTTCGAACCTGAGTTCTCAAGCAGGGGGAAGGGGGAGGCCACCACTGTGGTACCTGCACTCGACAATCACTTTAGTCTTTTACTTGTATAGAGAAACACATATTTTCTTTATTGTGAGGGGGCCACAAGCAATAATTATTAATATATACTTCCTAAATCAGTAGAAAACAAAGACCAAATATTACTTGTGTCAAAATTTTGGTGGGGCCCAGCCCCTTCAGGCCTTAACAAGCCTCCGCCATTTGCAGTCATCACACTCACATTGTGGCCGCTCATTGACTTGGTGAAGTAGAAAACAAAGACCAAATATTAATTGTGTCAAAATTTGGGGGGTGGGGAGGGCCAGCCCCTTCAGGCCTTAACAAGCCTCCGCCATTTGCAGCCACGACATTCACACTGTGGCCGCTACATTGACTTGGTGTCCAGGCAATTCTCCTTAATTTGAAAGTCAGTAATTAGTAGGACCAATAATGATGATTTTTTGTATAATAAGGATTAAGGTAAGTGCTTACTATGTTTCCAATTGACTGTTGGGAACTGGTTTGGACGTTTCTTGCAATTAAATATTTATTTGTTGAATTCAAATTGTTCCCATCTTTTCCTCTGGTCTTTATCCATGAAACTTCACTTTTTTTATTTTTAAACTCTTCTGAATAATATGAAATTAGTTTCTTGCTTAGCACGCAATTGTAGATTATAAGTTGAAATCTCATCATGGTTCATGGCTCACAGTGCTTGCTTGTTGAGACTTGAGTTTGTGGAAACAGTTGCAATGCTTCAAATAGTGTTATTGCTAATTCTCTCCAGTACAATAACAGAGTTTGCTTTTAGTAGTGATGCTCGGGTTATAGGCTGCCTAGAGACAGAGAGAGAAGCTCTTATTGACTTCAAGGATGGTCTTGAAGATCCTGAAAACCGGCTTTCATCCTGGAGAGGAAGCAACTGCTGCCAATGGTGGGGGATACACTGCAACAATACAACTTCAGCTGTTATAGCAGTTGATCTCCATAACCCGCATCTGCTGATTTCATACAATGATTCTTCTAGCAGGTATGGATTCTGGAACCTTAGTGGTGAAATTAGACCGTCATTGAAAATGCTGGAGTCTTTGAAACATTTAGACTTGAGCTTCAATACATTCAATGGCATTTCAATTCCTGCATTCTTCGGTACCCTGAAGAATTTGCAGTATCTAAAGCTGTCACATGCTGGGTTTAGTGGCGGAATTCCTCCAAATTTAGGGAACCTCTCTAGCTTGCAGTATCTTGATGTGTCGTCTAATTTTGTATCTGTTGATAACCTTCAATGGATGACTGGTATGAGATCTATGGAATATCTCAATATGAATGGAGCTGACCTTTCAATGCTAGAACCAGAATGGATTGAGACGCTTAATAAACTCTCGTCCTTAACTGAATTGCATCTGTCGCATTGTCGCTTGTCTGGTTTAATTCACCCTCTCAGAGTTATCAATTTTACTTCTCTTGCTGTAATAGAACTTGATTTTAACAGCTTCAACTCAGAGATACCCAGTTGGCTTGTCAATATCAGTAGTCTTGAAGGTGTCAGTATAAGCTATTCTGGCTTGTATGGAAGGATTCCACTTGGTTTCAGTGAATTACCAAGTTTGAAGGTTTTGGATCTTTCCGGGAATAAAAATCTAACAGCAAGTTGCTCTCAGCTTTTCAGAGGAGGATGGAAAAAGACACAAGTTATTTATCTAACTTCCAGTAACTTACATGGTAAATTTCCTGCTTCCTTTGGCAACATGACAGCTCTCACTCATTTTTATCTTTTTTGGAACAATGTCGAGGGTGTGATCCCGAGCTCCATCGGTAAACTTTGCAACCTAAGAGTTTTTTCCATATCTGGTAATAACCTAACAGGATTACCTGAAGTCCTAGTAACAGGAAACTGCAGTTCTAGGACTCCGCTGCCTAGTCTACAGCGCTTTGATTTGTCAGTCAATCAATTGGTCGGTAAATTGCCCGAATGGTTGGTTCAGCTTGAGAATCTTGTTGAACTAAGTCTGTCCTATAACTCACTCTCTGGTCCCATCCCTTCTTCATTAGTTTCATTACCAAGCATTTCCACTCTGAATCTTGGACATAATAAACTAAATGGGACTCTACCAGATAGTTTGGGAAAACTTTCTCAATTGTCTTCCTTTGATGTTTCTTTTAATCATTTGACAGGTATTATAACCGAAACACATTTTTCGCAGCTCAGTAAGCTGACAATCTTAGATCTGTCTTCCAACTCTTTAACATTAAATGTCAGTTCAAATTGGATCCCTCCATTTCAAGTCTTGCATCTTGATCTAGGCTCATGCCATTTGGGTCCATCATTTCCTGCTTGGTTAAGATCACAAAAGGAGGTCAAGTCTCTAGATTTCTCCAATGCTAGCATTTCAGGTTCCATTCCTAACTGGTTCTGGGAAATCTCATCTAACCTTTCACTGTTAAACATTTCATTCAATCAGTTAGGAGGTCAGATCCCAAATCGGTTAAATGTTCAACCAAATGTGGCTATTGACATGAGCTCCAACTTCTTTGAAGGTCCAATTCCTCTACCAACTGCTACTGTTGGGTTACTAGATTTATCCAACAATGCCTTTTCAGGTCATATCCCAAAGACCATTGGGGAAACCATGCCAGACTTGCTCTTCCTCTCTCTTTCACGAAACCAACTAATAGGTGAAATCCCAGCATCTATATGCAAATTTTGGTCTAAAGTAAGAGTCATTGATCTTTCAAATAACATGTTAAATGGAAATATTCCACCTAGCATAGGTAACTGTTCTTATCTAGAGGCTCTGGACCTGAGCAAGAACAATCTATGTGGAAACATTCCCAGCTCCTTAGCACCGTTGAGTATGCTTAAAACACTGCACCTAAGTGACAACAAACTCTCTGGAGACCTCTCACAATCTTTGCAGAACATGTCGAGTTTGGAGACACTGGATATTGGAAACAACATGCTCACAGGAAGAATTCCACCATGGATTGGGAAAGGTTTTGAACATCTGAGAATATTGAGGTTGAGGTCAAATGCTATTTTTGGAGAACTTCCGATCACGCTAACAAATTTAAGTTCTTTGCGTGTCCTGGACCTTGCAGAAAATCAATTCAATGGAAGCATTCCAGCTAGCTTTGGAGATTTCAAAGCTATGGCTCAAGCGCAAAACATGAACCGCTATCTATTCTATGGGATGTACAGGGGCAGGTACTATGATGAAAGCTTGATTGTGAACTTAAAAGGCTCACCTCAAATATACACCAAGACTCTCTCCCTTGTTATCAGCATAGACCTCTCTGGAAATAATTTGAGTGGAGATCTTCCTGAAGAAATAACTAAACTGTCTGGTTTGGTTGTTCTGAACTTATCCGGAAACCAAATAAGCGGTGGCATTCTGCAAGACATTTCAAAGTTGACGCAGTTGCAATCGCTTGATCTTTCTAGTAATAGGTTCTCAGGTCTTATTCCTCAAAGTTTGTCTTCACTTTCATTCCTGGGGTATCTAAATTTGTCAAACAATGACTTCTCTGGTATGATCCCATATACAGCTCATTTGACAACTTTTGATGCAGCCTCTTTTACTGGAAATCCAGGCCTTTGTGGTCATCCTCTTGTTGTAAGCTGTCCGGGTGCTGATCCCGGCAAAGGAGGAGGAACTGTGGAAGATAATGACAGTGGCGACAGCTTCATTGATAAGTGGTTTTATTTGAGTGTTGGATTGGGATTTGCAGCAGGTCTTCTGGTTCCTTTTTTCATTTTAGCAATCAGAAAGCCTTGGAGTGATGCCTATTTTCGTTTCGTTGACAAAGTTTTAGAGAGAATATCATGTTTGAGAAACAGAAGAGCAGTACATCACAGGACCAGGCGTCCTCACCTGAGCTAACTGTCTTTCTTTTCTTTGAGTGTGGTGCTTCTGATTTTATACTCTTATGTACTTTTTTGACACAGCACAAGCAAATAGATTTTCAAGCGAAAATCCTAAAGAACGATAATCTGGAATCCACCAAGAAATTGGAGAGAAAATTCTCTTTGAATTATTTGATTCATAAAACTGAAGTGTACAAAAACGTTAGACAAACCTGCCTAAATACACAACTCTCAACCCTTGTAACTGCTAGGGGAGTTATTACATTAAAACTGAAAAACTGAAAAACAGAATTTATTCCGAAAATTAACTACGAAACTTTGAATGCGGTTTTGGAAGGCCAAACGACCTCAGAATGCCAAAATCCATCATACATCACAGCAAAGCTGTGAGTTTGACTCGTGGCGTCGTTCCCTTTCCGAAATGGTATTTTGCGTCCTAATCGGAGCTCGGACGCCAAATCTGCAAATTCCTGCTATGTCCCTTTTCACTTCTTCGCTCCAATTCTTCTTCACTCCAATTCTTCTTCAATCAATTAGAAAATCCCAACGATACGCCTTCCTTCTTTTCCTAGTGTCATAAGTGACCATATTTCGTCCTACATCAATAAGGACCAGAAAAATGAAGTATTTATGTGTTACTGGAACTTGGAAGCAGACCTATGCTTGAACCCATATCCAAAACCTCTTGCTTATTTAGTGACAGAACCAGGAATTTGTTCTTGGACGAACCAAATAAAAATTGTGATGATCAATATTTTTCTTTCTATATACTATATTTCTACTATACATAATAGCATTGGATAAAAAAAAAACTATGTTCTTTTTAAATTTTTTTATAAAAAAATATGGTCAGATAGTAAAAAAAAAAAGGACATAGCTCAGCCAAAATGACTGGTATTTTTTTTTCTTCTCTCTTTTCAAATACCAAAATGTTGGTTGGACAGTTGGACTAATAGCTCAGCCAATGTAAAAAAACCCCGATGACGTAAAATTACCAGAAAACGATTATATAGATTTCCAGAGAGAGAGAGAGAGAGAATGAGTGGAGCTGAGAAGGTGGTGAGTGTAACCGGTGCGTCCGGTTACATAGCTTCATGGGTGGTGAAGCTGTTGCTGCAACGGGGGTATACTGTCAAAGCCTCAGTTCGTGACCCAAGTCAGTCGTCAGTCGTCAGTCTCACTTCACTACTTTGTTTGATAAATAGTTAAATACCCACTTCTTATTTTTCTTTCTATTTCAATTGATTGCAATCGCATCCCTTTTCTGATTAATTTGATGATCACTGAGCCCTTTGTGTTTATAGGAAGCTTATGATACTTTATTTGGCAAAGGGTTTGTATATTTTACTAATAATGTTTGAATATTTTCATCAAAGTTGGTAACTTTTTTAGAAAATTTGTGTGGGTTTCTGAAACTAATTAGTTTGATCATTATGATTTTGTGTGATTAGGACCTTGATAACTTGATTAGTTTAGTCACCTCAAGTAAATATTGGTAGTATCAAACTAATCCCCAAGAGTTGATATATAGATGTTCAGTGGAGTGGGAATGTTTTGATTGGTATCACAAGATCTTTTGTTAAGGTAGGGTTTTTATGGTTTATGGGGTTATTTTCTTGTATATGCCACAGATGATAAAAAGAAAACAAAACACTTACTTGCACTGGATGGAGCTAAGGAAAGGCTACAGTTGTTCAAAGCAGACCTACTGGAAGAGGGATCTTTCGATTCCGTAGTTGAGGGTAGTGAAGGTGTTTTTCATACAGCATCCCCATTTTATCACGATGTCAGTGATCCGCAGGTACATCCTGTATCACTTTTAACCGCTCTGTTGCTTACACATTAATTATGATGTGTCTACATTTTATTTCAAGAAGTGACCGATTTCTGTTGCATTCTTGCTGGATTTACTGAAAGTTTATGATATTTTGATGTTCTATGCTGTGATTTTGTTGAGGAAGTCTGTCTTTCATAGATTTATTAGTATACAGTTATTGTTTTAAAGTTAAATTCTTTATGCTAAAAAATGTTCACCGGATGCTGACTATAAGTTCTCAGTTGCAAAAGGAGCTAAGTGCAATGGTCTGCTATTGGATACTTTGCATTCAATTGCATCTTATCTGCAAATTCTAAAATCAAGACCCTATAGGCTGCCGCTTTTAAAGTTTTCTTTTGTCAAGCGGAACTAATTGACCCTGCTCTGAAGGGAACGCTTAATGTCCTTAGATCGTGTGCTAAGGTGCCATCTATCAAAAGGGTGGTTATAACATCCTCTATGGCAGCAGTTGCGTTTACTGGAAAACCTCTTGCTCCTGATGTGATAATTGATGAATCTTGGTTTTCAGATCTAGCTGTTTGTGAAAAGTTGAAGGTTTGCACGCTTCTCATGCTAGTTTTTTATGATGGAATATCTCTTCTATAGGTTCTTCGTGAACATCCATGTGAAGATGTAACTGGTTTATGTATTTGAAAACTCAGATGGAATTTCCCCCCCGATTTTTTGGCACCTGAGATCCAGTCTTGTTCAGAAATATGCCCCCTTACCCTTTAGGATCATGCTTTGCCTAAGATATCTCAGTTTGTTTTTTACCTTCTTAGTGAGCCTACATATGAACACCTTTTAGGATTCTTTAGGCAGTAATGTCGTATTAAGCGGTGGATGTAAATTGAAAGACATAATTACATGTCGTGGCGCAGTTGATGCTCATATAGATATATGTTTTTTTTGGTATGGTTGTTAGCATACCTCTTGTAAATGACTAATTTTTATTGTGTAAGAGTTAAATCTTATAGCTTTCATGCTTTAAATACATGTTCATTGTGTTTATTAAGACCTTTTCTTCATCAGCTTTGGTATATGATTTCAAAGACCTTAGCTGAGGAAGCTGCTTGGAAGTTCACAAAAGAGAATGGAATCGATATGGTTGCAATAAATCCGGGATTGGTGATTGGTCCTCTCTTGCAGCCAACTCTGAATACAAGTGTGGAGCCTGTTCTAAAGCTCATAAACGGTACTCCGAAGCGTCTGTATTGTATGATTTTATTATACAATCATTCCTCATAGAAATATATGAAGTATCATGATTTTAGAGATTTACTCTTTCCATATAAAAGATATAATAATAAAAGAAAGTTATACTCTTTTATTCCTAAGAAAATTTAGTTTTATCTGCAAAAGTAATCTCCTATATATGACTGCTCAAATATGGATGCTTGATGCTTATACTAGGGTGCAGCAGAACTATTAAATCCATGTTTGCCTTGACAAACACTCCTCAATATTAGCTGGTGCATGATGAGTCCCGTTCTTAAGAGGGGTCCCTCATTTTAAAGTAAAGGATTACCTTGTTAGATTTCAACAATAAAATCTTTAAACCTTGAAACATACCAGATAATTCAATATTTATGGTATGAAATATGCCTCCATTGTAAATAATGTGTCAAGTTATAGCATACACATGTTTACTTATCTAAACTAAGAATCCTTGAATGCTAAGTTAATTTAAATGTCGAGTATAGAATTTTTTTTTTAAGAACACACATAATTCTATTAATGAAAAGGAAATTTAAATCTGTGGATAAGCAGTCCACAGCAAAAAAGATGAAACTATAAGGGTTCCTTCAGAAAAATCCTTGTACAAAAACTACGAACACGAAAAAATTGCTTCAAATCCAAGACACAAGTTAATGGTTCAATAATACTTTCTCATTATCTCTGTGATAACATACAATCTGCTAAGAAATTCTTATTGCTGATGTTTAACCGATGCAGGTGCTGAAACATTTCCAAATATAACTTACAGATGGGTTGATGTTAGAGATGTTGCCAATGCTCATATTCTAGCCTTTGAGAATGCTTCAGCTAGTGGGAGATATTGTTTAGTTGGAAGAATAACACACTGTTCAGAGGTCGTGAAGCTTTTGCGTGATCTCTTCCCTGCTCTCAAGATTCCAGAAAAGTAAGTTGCAAATTAATCAAATTATAGCATGTTACTCCTGTCCAAGATATCTGTATCAACCCTAGAGATAGAGGAGGAATTCTTTGGTCAAGTTTACCATATTGTTCTAGCCTAAGAAATCCGTGGCCATTCAAATTGTTCTGTTTAACATTGATATGATAAACAGAGTCAGTAATATGAATTTTTCTTCATAAGTGCTAAATTGTGAAACATAATATTTGGACTTAAGGTTTGAAAGTCCAAACTTCAAAAATTAATGTCTATGTGTTCATGGCAGATGTGCAGATGACAAACCTTTCACACCAACTTACCAGGTTTCCAAGGAAAGAGCCCAAGTCTTGGGTGTTAAGTTTACGCCTCTGGAGGTAACATTGAAAGATACTGTGGAAAGTTTGAAGGAGAAGAACTTCTTTTAATCATGGAACTCATTCGAATTACTGTCGAGACATTAGAGCTCAGTTTATCAATTATGGAAAGTATGTTAGGCCAATTTGCAACAAAAGTCCTTGTCTAAGAGCCCTTTACATTTTCGACCAAAAAAAAAGCGGCCCTTTACATGAAGTTTTATTAGTCACCTAAATGCAGTAATGTGGAACTTGTTTCAACTGCCTTTTACTTATTGCGAGCTTTAAACTTTGAAGTGACTCCATTAGAAGTTCTGCTCAACCCACGCCTTTTCCTCTCTTGAGGGACTTTTAGTGCGGATTGGTATTCTAATTGCTGAGCTCCAAGAAAGGCAAAGCTGAAAGTGACTTATTGCGGAAGAAATTTTGACAGTTTATTATTAGGTGGATGTTATCTTCTAGAGAAATTTTTTATAAAAAAAAACACACCATCAGATAAGCTTAAATACAACTTGGACACATTTTTACTATCAAACGGACAAATAATCACCTCAGGGGAACTTTTAATTCAAATTAGGAATGTTCGACCAGGGTGTACATTTCGCAATTCGAACGATGACTTCTTAGCCATGTACGAAAGTCTGTTGTAACAAATAACCCATTTTCTGGTCTGATAAGAAATTTGCCAGATGTTGCATCCGCAGAATTGGAATA